GAACTACACTTAGCAGCTCAGTAGTAGGTTGCCAAAGTTTAGAACTGATGTGAGCATTTGTGCTTTATCTTGACTTATTTTGTGTACCCATTAGCAAGATGTATCCCTAAGGTACCAGAAAAACCTAAGAAAGAGAGCTCATAAGGGTGTTAATACTTATCCTAAAATTCAACATAAATAAGTGTATTTGTTATGATTTGGCAGGTTATTTTGGGGGACTGGGAATGCTCAAAATATTTTCCAAATAAATTCATGGTAATTACTTCTTTGCTTTATGCCACTTCAGCCTAGAAATGGTTTCACAGGAACGCTCTACTTTTGGATAGCAGGGTAAACCTGTATTAACAAGGGAGGTTTTTACATTTCTGCTTCATTAAAGATCTTTAAAAGAAATTCTCATGTATGTATGAGATCTAAGTGTGGTTCTCTTTCTTCATCAGTAAGTCCCAATAAGTATGCCAAGACAAAGTGATATGTAATAGGAAAAATTTTATTCACAATTTCTGGATTTAGAACTTTCTCTGAATCAGGTCTATTGACCAGAACAACACAATCCATCTCTGGGGGTATTTGGAAATGTGGAGGGGGCATTTTAAAAGTGTTACGATGAACCTGGAGGAGAGCAGAAAGAAAGGATACTAATGGCAAGTAGTTGTTAGGCCCAAAACGAATGGCAGTCACACACCACACATGCCAAAGCATCCCATATACCCCATTCTTTCAAACCCACCCAAAAATCATATAAATGCTCCCCACCTTACTCTCCCCTAAAGAAAAGTCAAACTAGACCATTACTTTTAATCTTCAATTTCCAGGCTCAATGTGGAGACCAGAAGGCATACAACTTAAACCTTGCAGGCAGCTTAGTTACTACCATTCTTGTCAGATGCTATCTTCTTGCCTTTTTTTTCATTATCATAGTATCAAGCACAGTCTTTTCAAAGTTACGTTTTCTCCATCATCATGGTATTTTACCCTTGATTTAATACCAAAGCAAGCAGATACAAGAAAAGTTCTTCAATCTAGTAAGGTATACCAGAACAAAAATTTGCAAGTATCCCTGGAATCTGGAATCCACAGATGCAAGGAAGAGGAAGATCCATATGCAATTATTTTGTGTGTAGCAGCGTTAAGTGCATCTTAACGGGGATAAGGTCCACAGTTTTCATGAAGTTCTCAAAAGAGTCTACGACCCTAAAACATTAAAACAACTGCTCTATTGAAAACTATTCCAAAAATCTTTGATGATTCCTGTGCTCAAAATGTCTGATGGTTTCCCAATATCTGTAACATATGCTTTAAACTGTCAACATGTTAGCCAAAGGTCTCCATAATATAGCCACTATCCCAACTATTTGGAATTTAAATCTATTCCGTCAATTTGACTGTAACAACCCAGACTACTTCCCTCAAACATGCTTCCCTTTCTCAAAACTCTGATCACAATTTCCTCTTCAGAAACATTTTCCTATATCCTTAGCCATCAAAATCCTAATTATTCTTCAAGGTCCAGTTCAAATGCCACACCCATAAAGATTTTCCTTTCTATTCAGCTAAAATTAACCTTATGAGCAGCTGTGCTTCACAGTATTTTGTATTTTTAATCTAGTACTTGTCACATTCTACCTCATTTTATGGTTATAGTATTATAATGTCTTCTTTGCTCTATTAGAATGTAACTAGAGCCCTGGCCAGTTTGGCTCAGCGGTTAGAGCGTCGGCCTGCGGTCCGGAGAATGTAACTAGAGGGCATGAGCAATGTCTTATGACTCACTAAAATCAACAGTAAGTAGTACAGTACCTTACATAATATAGGTGTTTAAACATTTACTAAATAAAATCCAATTTGGAGAAATTTAAATATTATTAAATGATGAAAACTACATAGAGCAAAATACCTAGAAAGGATACAGCAATTACATCCCCTAAAACTGACAAAATGGCCTTTGTAGTCTGATTATATACCAATTTAAACTCATAAATTCTTTCACACAAAAGGGAAAGACAATTTAGTTTTGAAAAGTCTACACAAATAAACAGCCTTAAAAATGTAAAAAAAAAAAGTTTTCTGAAAACTGTTAAGCATTATACAATTACAGATTTTAATTAATCATTCTTATTATAGTTCACTATCCTTGACCACAGTATATATTTTAACTACCAGCCGTTTCTAATCTTTAGCAGAGCTCTACTAACGTTTCCTAAGGGTTAAAATGAATTAATTTGAAACAACTGATAACTATGTAGAGATAACCATGCCCAGATTAAATTAAATACTAAATATAAAAAAATCTATAAAGGGAATCAATTCTATAAAATTTTACATTTTATGATTATTATATAAAACCAAATACATACCCTAGACAATTATAAATTTAGACTTATACAGATTCTTTTGTCTCTCTTGGTTTACATTTTAAACTATTTTATTCCTAGAAGGTTTTTTTTTTTAGAAGATTCAGGAAGTAATAAGACTTAGCCAATGGGTTTGATCTGTGTAGGTTCACTTATTCACAAATTTTTTCAATAAATGTTAGAAATTTTCTGGAAGATTTCCTTACTACCGTGAGGAACTGTATAGATTACACTATAGATAAAGTATATACGTATATAGATTACATTATAGATAAAGCAATCATAATGCTGCTTTTGTGTTATCAATGTATAAATTGTTACACCTGTAAATAAATATGGATTTTTTCCATTAGCTTTACTTTTTTTATATCTAGTCAAGTAGTAGATATAACATCCACAGTGTTTTGTAGCATGTAAGACAATATTGATGTAGGAACTGACAGAAAATTCATGTTATAAACTGATAACATTAGCGCATGGTATGGAGAAATATAGTAAAGCACAGTAAATGTATTTTCTCTTCTTTATAATTTTCATAATATTTTCTTTTCTCTAGCTTACTTTATTGTAATAATAATATATATACAAATATAACTAAAAATATGTATTAATCAACTGTTTGTGTTATCCATAAGGCTCCCAGTCAAAAGTAGGCTATTACTAAAGATTTTGGGGAATCAATTTATACAGATTTTTAACTGCATGGGGGTTGATACCCCTAAGCCCCACGCTGTTCAAGGGTCAATGGGGAAAAAACCAACTACTTTCACAGTCAACTGTGCTTGCCTAATATGAATAGCTTCAAGGCTATACAGCAAAGGGTACTTACTAAGCAGCTGTACTAATACATGAATGAAACAGAAACCTCTAATTCAATTTTAAATGCTATATAATTGTTTTTATTTTATTTTGTACAGCTTGTGAACTGCCTATAGGAAAGATGTGCTAACAAAAAATATGTTTATGAGTTAGTCAATTTCTATCCCTGAACCCAAGGCTGTATGCTGCTATTAAAAAGTAGGTATTATAAATACTTTGTGTTTACACATTTCTGTTATACAAACGTAATATATTATTATTATATGTTATGAAAAAAACATAAAAACTTTGTTTTAAAAATATACAAATACTTGTTAGCTGAAATATTTTTTAAAAAGCAGTATAAAAAAAAGCAGTAATAGTACAAAAAGCAGTTATAATGCTAAATAAAATGTCTTACAATTAGTAAGCCATTTTACAGCCGACTACCTTTCAATAAAACAAACTAAACTATATAAAAACTAATCTATGTTCTTTGCATACTCTTTTGTATATGTCGTTTATCTTTCTCTAAAAAGCTAGTTAAAGGTGGAAAATAGGCCCAAGAATTTCAGAATCAACATTATTTTAATATGGTATGTTATGACACCTAGATAAATTTAGTCTTGGTTGTAAATACTATGATTTTAAAAGTTAATAATGGCCTTCTATTTTATAAAGAATGGTGACATAAACAAAAGAATATACAAATGAAAGTACATTCATACATTACAATAGGCTGGTAATCACAGAATTTAAATTCTATCTCTGCCACAAAGGAGCTATGTAAACGTTAGCAAATATTTTCTTTACATCTCTGAGTCGCAGACTCCCTATTTCACCTATACATAAAGAAAAGTGAGAGGGGGTTGATTTTATGTTCTATTCTAGAAATTATGATTTGGTTCATATCAGAGCAAGGTCTTTACCTAAATATAATCTGTATATTAATGCTGGTTAAATAGAATTACAAAGCATTAGACACTGAAAATTTAAGTTCAAATAATCAGATACTTTGAAATTTAAAGACAGGCAAACAAGGAGTAAAGAATAGTTAAATGTGTTAATAAAAGCATAATCAGTGCCCAGTTTGGGGCTCAAAGATATTCTAAGTTAATGACTTCTCTATTTTAGAATGCTGATAATTAGTAACACCCTGCATGAACATTAAAAGTATGATATAAAATTACCACAAAATTACTAGCTGATTCTGAAACTAAGCCTACTTTACTCTAGAAAGCCAAAATCAAATTAGTTTTATAAAGAAGCAATTCTATAGCTTACAAAAGTATTCAAAGGCAGCACCCTAGTACTACTATAAAATGGTTAAAGGTTGCAGGGGAGCCATACAGCATTTCTACTGTTGTTCTTTATGAGATTCATTTGTCAAAAAAAGAATTAATGGACGTGCCATATGACTCTATCTTTAAATTTCATTTTTAGATCAAGTATAAAACTGAAGAGGGAAGAGAGGAGGTCCCAGAGCTTAGGATTGCCCAAAGAGCAAACTCCTTACATATATTTCTATGTTCAGAGGAGGAAATCATTCATTGCTCAACCTGTGAGTAAATAACTTTCATCATGGACCTCTAATTCACTCACTAGAAGAGTCAATGAATTTTAATAGGACTGCACTAAGGTTCTTTATTAAGCAATATGAAAAATGGGGTAACTGTTCATTTTGCCAAACCATAACATAAATCTTGTCAATCCTAAACTGATTGTAATAGATCAAACCAACTTGATTATATAAAGTGAAATCTTATTCCTGAAAATTAACAAAGCACAAAATATCAATTAAGATCTTCAAATAGCCCATCAAATTTGTTTTTTAAAAAAATATCTTACTGTAATGAAGTCATTCCCTTTAACCATTCTTCCTTGGTAAAAAATCCCATGCTTTCAGCCTCCAATTTCCACGCTAAAACTAACATAATAATCTGGAAAGAACAGAACATAAAGGATAGGGGAAAAGTCAGCATAGAGATAATCATGTCTGTATTTATCACGGATAGCATTTTTATACAACTATTTCCTTCTTCCAAATATTAAAGAGTACAACCTTTGGAATTATTAATTATAAAGAAATTTAGATAGACCAATTTCTTAAAAGGAAAAATTTCTAATAGTTTCTGAAGATAGAATCACCGTCACTCTATTACAAATGACATAGAGAACTTGAGCCTAATATAAATTGACTAAAAATATCCTAAATAAAAATCTACAATAATAAACATGAAGAAACAAAATCTTCATTTAAGAATAAAGTGTCCCAATTTTTAGAAATTTATGAATATGCTATACCCCACTTGTATTCCATTCTACTTAGAAATAAAACATACATTTTCAGGTTCAACACCAATGTCTTCACAAAATTTTTCCATTCCTTCTGGCCCTACAACTTCATCAGGACCTTCAAAGACAAAAATAATGTATATATTTTATTGTTATAATTTACTATCAACATAAACATAAGCCCTTGTGCTAAAGGCATCTATGAACATACCGTAATATTTTTGCAAATAACTGAATTTAAATTTTTACATATCTTTGATAAAGTATAAGTATTTGCCATAGACTTTAAAATTTTTGAAATATTCTTAAAATATGTTTCAAAATAAAATTAAGAAAATAAAAAATGAAGCAACATTAATACCAATCACTAGTTTGTACAATAACTTGAACCTATCCATTAAAAATTTAGTGAGAACCTTCTCTAAAGAAAACTGTTGGCAATGCATAAATATAAAGAAACATAAGAAGATTTAAGCTCTTACCCTACTAGAATGTGCCAATACCAATCCACAACTTAAGATAATAATCAGAGGAGAATATCTGTTTAGTTACTAAAATAGAAGGCCTTTTGAAATATAACCAAATAAAATGTAATACTTTACTAAACAGATATACATATTATAAAAATAATGACGTAAGGAAATTATTACATTTTAATTCCAGAATATTTTCCTTATCATCTTAGTTTTCAAATAGACAATAAAACATTAGTTATGTCACTTTAATGTAGAAACAAAAGTTTAATCCTTCAATTACCTTGTCTATCATTTGTCCAAAAAGGAACAATATTTATTTTTTTCCCTTAGTAACACTAAATGTAAGTCAATACATCAATTCCCATATTTTTTTATGTTAGCAGAGTCCCAAAATATAATAATTTCATCATTATTAGGTCTTTTTTTGTGACTGGATAATATTAACACAAATTGGTGACAACACGGATGGACCATGAAGGCACTATGCTAAGTGAAGTCAGACAGAAAAAGACAAATACTGTATGACTGATTAACTTATATGTAGTCTATACACTAAAAAGCAAACAAATAAACAACTCCAAAAACCAAACTCATAAATACAGAGAACAGTCTGGTGGTTGTCAGAGGTGGGAGTACAGGGTAGGCAAAATGGGTTAAGGTGGTAAAAGGTACAATCTTCCAATTATAAAATAAGTCCTGGGATATATACAGCATAGTGACTATAGTTAATAACACTATTGTATACTTGAAAGTCACTAAAAGTATAGATCTTAAAAGTTCCCATCACAAAGAAATTTTTTTTTGTAACTGTGTCTGGTGCTAGATGTTTAATTAGTTATTTTGGTGATCATTTTGCAATATATACATATGTTGAATCATTATGCTGTAAACCTGAAACTAATATAATGTTGCATCTCAATTTTAAGACTAAAATATGAAATACGACAGAAATATGTTTACCACACTTGGTTTTGAAAATATGGTCTTGAAATATTATTGTTAAATCAGCCAAGAGAAACTTGTTTTCCTTTCTTAAGGACTAAAAATATTCCAGCTTTATATATCATAGACTAATCCAAGGCAGTTCGGGTGGCATTTTACATTATCATCATTAGTTCACAAGTGCAACATGCAGCTATTGTCCTTAAATTTTTCTTAATAAAAGAATGCAGCCATCCAATATGCGGCCAATATACTCTTGCTGTTTCAAATGAGATCCAGGCTGTTTAGATGATGTGGTCTGAACCTAAACCCTTTGCAGATTTTTTGGTTTAAATAAGTACTGCACTTAATTATGCAGAGAGGTGTTAAAAGGTGAAGAGGGTGACAATAATAGGAAACTTACAACTAGAGGATTTTTTTAATGAGATGTGTTAGATAATTTAAAAAGTCCACATATATGATAAAGCTGTTAAAAATATATCCAAATATGCATCCTTATATTATATGTGGTTTGAATGAAAGTAAACATCAGATAAAAAAATTTAATAGAAGAAAACAAAAGTTGTTTTTTATGATTGGAATATATTCTAAATTTGTCTATGCAACAAGAAAGCTGACTTGCTCTTGAAGGTGCCATCATTAGTAATTAGAAGAGAAAGTTAAAGAGTTATGTCAAGAAATATCAGTTATTGTTATAAAATATAGCCTCCCTCGATACTGTAAGATTAGTGATTAAAATTAGATTAGAATCAAGTTAAATTATGTTATACTAAGACATGTTGAGTGACTTTCCCAAAATAATGCAAATAGTAACAGATCTAAATCTAAAACGTCTATACCAATGTTCTTTTCCCAGATTGCATAATGTTAATTATTCTCCTCAAAACATATTCCTCCAGTAAAACTACTTCCAGGGTGCTGAATTTTATTTTTAAGACATAAACCAGGTTTCCAATCAATTTAAAAAGCTATGGAAATGATTTAGTTCACTCCACCAGCTGGGTATTTTATTGGAACTATGCAGTTCTACCCCAATTTTTTATTCTTTATAAGACTTTAAAAGTTCCTTTTCAATTCCCATGCTTTTTGTTTAGTAATAGGCCCAGTATATTACTGAATCTTTGCTAATTTAAATATCAGTCAAGATGAGAGGTCTTGTGAAAGGGCAAAACCATCAGGCTTATCTTATCACATATGACCTATTAATATTATATTAACAAGATTAGTGGTAAAATATTTTTAAATTAAAAAATAAAATCAGTTTTCTGGTTTTATTTTTTTAATTCACCATAAAGAAATGTTCCCGGCTATGTCTGTAGAGCCTAAAACCATGTCAGTCATAGCAAGTAATCAGGAAAAAAAACTATGCTAAATGAATGACAGCTCTTCAACATGAGCCACACAGGCGCTATACTAATAATTTTGGAACAGTACTGCAAATATATACAACTGGTAAATCTGATACCGTAATACTTTTACTCTTTTAAAAATAGCTAACATTTATTGAGTTCTGATTATATGCCAGGTACTGTGCCAAGTGCTTTACATGTGTTACCTCGGTAGACACAATTATTTTCTCCATTTTAATGAGGGACACCCCCATTTTAAGATGGAACAGTTACTGTTTATTTGGCAAATAACTGTTTCCTCCTTGTCAATTAGCTCTCTGCCCATCATAACCTCTAGAGTGGCCTTTCCTAATCACTCTAATTGAAAATCCATCCAAACTTACTTTCTATCCCTGAACTTCACCACATTTATTACCTTTATAGCCCTCCATAATCTGAAATTATCAGGCCTACTTACCTATTTACTGTATGTCTTCCCACTAGAAGGCAAGTTCCCCAAGGACAAGGGTCTATTTTAACTTGTTCACTACTGTATTCCCAGCACTTAGCAGAGTGCCTGATACATGAGTACTCAATAAATATTTACCGAATGAATGATTCCATGAATGACAGAAGGTGAGTTAACCTCAAGTGTACTTAATATTTTCTTTACAAGAGGAAAATTAGTTGCCACATACATATTTTTTTAAGAAAATAAACATTACAAGGTAGTAGTTAAAAGCATAGGCTCTACAGTCAGAATGACCTAGGTTTGAATCTTGGCTCTTGTCATTATATGATCTTAAGCAAATAACTTAGTCTAAGCATCAGTTTTCTCATCTATAAAACAGGGACAGCACTGCCTACTTAACAGAATAGTCATTAAGAAAAATTATATAATTAAGCATAATTTTTGAAATAAAGATAGCAATTATTTTGCTGGCTATTAAAAAATGCTAGTATAGAAAATAAATGTTTAAATAATTAGAACCTTATGCTACCCAGGGAAGTCCCTAGGAGAGGTAAAACAAGTAATTTTTATAAGTAAAATATGATGAGTAACCTTTTGATTCGTGCATAACAATAAAACTGGCATTTTAAATAATGGGTCAACATTTTAAATGGAGGTCAGAAATAAAATGAATTCCCTTCATTTAATTTGGGTTAGTGGTTGTCTTGGGATGGCAGTAATAGCAGTTTTTCTGATCTAGAAAGAATCTGTTCTGTTATTAAACAATTTTTAAATTACATATACTTTTGGGACCACTCAGCTGATCCTAACAGTGAAGTTACTGTCCCCAACCTTCATAGTCTTACAGTTAGCCTAAATTTATATCTCAAGTTCAGAGTACACTTGAAGCCTTAACTTGATTACACTACATATAATACAATGACTGTATATACACTGTTTCATTTTAAACAAACATTCTAAGAATGATAATGATAAAAGAGGGGGGAAGGGACCAGGAGGCAGGTAAGAGAAAGAAAAAGGGGGGGAGAGCTTTAAAATCACTAATTTCGAAAGACAAAATCATTCTAATGGAAAATTTTTTTTTCATATGCTTATAAAGAATTTAGTAATAAATGGGGAACAAGTGTTCTTTTTCATATATTTGCTTAGCTCTTCAGCTCCATTCCTGATTTTGACTTTCACCCCACCCTAGGCCAAAAGCTTTACATCCACCACTTACAAGATTTAGTTTTAGTTAGCTTCTTCAAGAAGCCTTCTCTGATTATTTTCAAGACTGAATTACATATTCTTCCTATAAAATTTCACAGTGCATCTTCCTAATAAACATTTATCACACCATATTACTATCATTCTGTTTATTTTTATTATTACATCTCTTAGAAGTTAGCAGCTAAATAGTAATTATTAAAAGGTGTGTTATGTCTGTTTTAAATCTTTTACTGTCTCCCAAAAGTTTCAGAAAATGTCAATTATGGTTCAGAAAAATTTCAAAAGAATATCTCAAATAAAAACTATGTACAGAATAAAATGTTGTATCACATACTTTGTGTTTTCCAGAATACCAACTCTACTTTAGCCAATGGATGTAAATCAGTAAGTGAATTTGTCTGTTTACAAATTGCATTAATAGTAAATGAGTTTCACCCCTCTCACTAAATATATGCACTGAATTATATATTTAAAGACATAGCCTGAAAGGGCACCAAATTCTTAGCCTACCCACAATCCTCAGTCTTGACCCTGATCCCCGCACACAGCACTAACACATAGCAGGCCTGAAATAAATAGTTTGTTAAATGAATGAACCAAAAAAAAAAAAAAAAAAAGTTTTAAAGCATGTGACTGATATCTTCTTATATTAATTTCATTACCTGCATACTCATAAAACCAAGCCAGGCACTTCTTGCTTGAAAAATGTTCCTCTCCACTTATTAGTCTAGCAGGGGGTTGGGATCTGCAATAGCTTAGAAAACACACAAATGCCTAAGAATTTTATCGTCTCAACTTTTAGTGAAAAGCTCAGTTCAATATGAACTATGTCAATTCAAACTAAACAAAGTTTTGTTTTTTTTTTACAGCTGGTGTTATGGGAAAAAAAATGGAGTTGTTAAATATTTGCAATTTGATACAGTAGTCTATACATAAAAATTTGTGGCTAACAAAACCCAAATGCTACTTTGCTCACTATCAAATTCCAAAAATAGCAACAAAAATTAATCCCCCAGGTTCCAAAAGATTACACAGAAGTTCAACCTAATGATCTCAATGCAGGACTGGTAGTTGGGAAAGTATAAATCTTTACAATGATTCTCTGAACTGCATGGAAATTACATTTGTGTATAATAGATATACATTTGGGAAAAAAAAAATCTTACAAAGTATATTTTGTTAGTTAATTTATCAATATTTCAAAATAAAACTATATATTTGAAGTTGCTTATCATCTACCAAACTTAGATTTTTAAAGATAAAAGATAATTTAGGACCTAAGAGTATAATTAAACTCCACAGATTAAAAAACAACTACAAAAAAACCCTTAAAAGATAACATTAGTACAAATAATTGTACCAAAGCTATTTAATCTAACTCTGTTTATCTTGTCCATAAAGTCTTTTAAAGTTGGGAAGTTCATAAATGGCCTTTAGGACATAATGAATGTCAGAGAACCTTTTCTCCAGGAGCTCAAATAGTTATACTACCACAATGACATAGAAATGCCATAACTTCTGCAACTGAGCAATGTAATGTAAAATAAGGGAAGCACATTTAAAAGTTTAAGTTAATAGAGCAAAGTATCACCTGAGTTCTAATAATGACTGCTCAGCTATTTGAAAGTTCTTAATTTAAATAATTTTGGTACCTTATATACTTAAGGTAGCTACAAGTTAGAATAGTACAAAACTAATCTGCATGTTTCTTAAAAATTTGAGCTAGTGAAATAACCATGTCAAACTCTAGTGTTAGTTACCAAGAGGTGTAAGAGAACAGCATCATCTTTCACAGTAATAGCCCAAGAAATATACTTGGGCTCTGTTTTCCCAAACAGCTTAAGGAAGGAAAAAAACAACTGAACCGACCAATTACAAGAAGAAAAAATGCAGACTAAATAAGTTACCTACCTCACATTTTAAGCAGATCTCTAAGGAGAGTTCTATCATTATCTCCCATTTATAATGCTGTCTATAATCTTCTTTTAATGGTAGCATTTAGTTGTCACACTAAGTGCCAACCACAGATAACAATCAGACACTCCATAAGGAGATTTAAAAATCCCACTTCTCACACTTAAATTTCAATAAATTTTTGCAGCACAAAATGTTGCTGTGATGCCTCAATGACATGTTACAAAGGGAGCAAAGAGCTACAACTACAGCTCTACTTTGTTTTGTTTTTCTCCAAGAGGATACAGAGTACAATAGCTCTCAATTATTAATATTTATACTGAGAGCTAACAGCATCCTGAGTGCTAGAAAACAAAACGCATGCAGGGCCTTCCCAATTCGGCACACAGGGACTTGGCGCAGGTGGAGGCACTATTACTTCCAGAAAAATGGTGCTCCAGCGATTTAAAAGGCCTCCTGCTGGGATCCTCCCGGTTAGACCACTAAATTTGGAGGCCAATTACAACATGGGGAGATTTCCTTTCTATCATTCCCATGGCAGTTGTCAGGTCAAGATTTCTCCTGTTCTGCTCCTTTCTTCACTCTACAAAGAAATTCTAGAAGTGACCCTTCCGCGGATCTGTGTGGAAAGAAGGCGGAGGAGGGGTTAAGAGAGTAGGGGTGAGGGGGAAGAGCGCAATTTACGTACGCATTCCTGTTTCCCCACCCTCCGGGGCACGTAGACCAACGTGGGGAGACTCGCTAGTCCCTCCACAGGCGCCAGGGAGCACACGCACCGAACACGAGGTGGAGTCCGCCGCACGACTCGCGGGGTTCTGCGCCTACCACGTAGGTTTGTCTGGGTGGGGGCGGGGGTCCCCTCACCCCAGCTCGAGCCTCGGAGACCCGGCCCCCCTCCTTCTCCTCTAGCCGTCCAGCAAGGAGGAAAGATTGAAGAGTGGGGGGGAGGTGGTACCTGGAGATTTTACACTTTTTGAGGCCTCCGTCTTCCGCTACCGCCACCCCAGAGGATTTTCTTTTCTTCTTCACCGGCATCTTCCGCCCTCCCCGGCGGGGCGGGCAGGGGAGCCGGGGAAGGGGGTCGCTGTCCGCTGAAGACTCCTCAGGGCTGGCACCCGGTTCCCAGAGACAGGAGCAGGGGTAGGAGCAAAGTCTCCAGCCCGCACCACAGCGGCCCAGCCCGGCCTCCGGCCGCTCCCAGGACTCCTCGTCCTTCTCTCCTGGGCAGGGGGTCGCTTCTCGTCGGTGGACACTGCGGCTTGGTCACACCGGGAAAGGAGAGCGCCGACAGCGCGGCACCTTCACCAGTCACAGACTCGAAGAGCAAGAGGCTCAGCGTGACCCGGATGCGCCTCGCCAGGGGCCGGAAGTGACGCAATGCAAGGCTGGTCGCCGGGAGGGGCGTGGCTCTGGTTGCAACCAGCCTTCTCCAGGCCGGAAGGATGCTTCGTACCTGCCAGAAGTGGAGAGCCCAGGCGTCGTTTGCCCCCTGACCTCCTTTGGTGGTCCAGAGTATTCCGGCCTTTCTCTCGAAACTTCCATCCCACCCTAATGCTGATACGCATCACCTCCAAAAAATGTTTTATGAAACCACTAGTACCCTGCAATTGGCCTTAAAAATAACCTGGTAAAGTAAACCAAATTTCACTTGTGAGCTCTTCCATTTGGTAACCTCACGTTGTTGCCCACCCCTTACGTGCACATTTTCTTTCTGGGCCAGCGATCAGCCGTCCACTCTCACAGGCCTTCTTCTGGTCCCTGACCTCTCTCCCTTAATAAAAGGTGGTTCACCGTTTCTCACCTCAGATGAGGGACAGTAGGAGGTCGCTGACCTAGTAAAGAGGAATTTGGGGAACATTCCCCCTTGGGCCTTCCCTCAAACTTTTACGCAAAACACTTGTAATCATTCCACCTTCACTTCAGTGGAAATGTTTCTCAATAAAGGTTGTTGCATGTAAATATGTAGTAGAAAGTCACTGTAGTCAATATATATGTAAAATAAGTTCATATCTGTAAATCAAAGTGTGATTTTAGAGGAGGAAAAGTCTCTAAATTCAGTAACAGCCCATGTGGTTCTAGTTCCACCTTGGCATTCTCATTTGGCCAATTGGAATATCCTGCTTCCTTAAAGCCATTAATTGGTACAGAAGGATATATGATCCAAACCAGGCTGCTCAGTGCCAATGGCATGAAACTGAACCATCAGGAAGCAACTTATTTCCTATGGACTTGAACCTGAGAGGATGTGGTGAATAAAGCCAAACTCAGAAGAGACCAGAGATAAGCAGAAAAACAATACATGGTTTTATGATAAAGGGCCCGAATCCATGATATTTCAGTTACATGAGCCAATAAAATTAAGCAGTTCTCTGTTCCAACCAAAAGAATGTTCCTGAATGCTGTAATCCTTCAACTCAATTAAAAATGAATGAAGCCAAAATATCAAACCTGAATAAGATCAAGTCTCTAAAAAAAATATCATCTGTAAGTAGGGACAGAGGAACATGTTAACACAATGCAATCAGTAAGATTTGACTGTCAGAAAATCTACAGAAAAAATGACTCAGATTCTGCAAAAAATTATTAGAGAACGAAGGAAATTTTAAAGGATATATCATTTTCCATATGTGATTCTTATTTGAAGCTTGAATCAAAAATATTTGAATTTTATTACATTTATAGGACAATTGGAAATTTGAACACTAGTTGAATATTTGATGAAATTCTAGAACAAGCAAACTTATTTATAGGACAGCATATCAGTGATGGCTGGGGACTGGGATGGAGTGGGGATTGAGGGGGAAGTGGACTATAAAGAGCACAAGGGAACTCTTGGGTAATAGACATATTCTGTGACTCGATTAAGGTAGTGGTGTATATATTTGTCATAGCTCATTGAACTATACAATTAAAAATACATGCCCTTATATTACTATTATTTCTCAGTAAAAAGTGCAAATTAAAAAAAAAAAAAATGATGACGCTATTAGAAATAACAAAGCGTTTTTTCTTCCAGAAGTAAGCTATGAAAACTAACTGTCCCTTTTCACAAATAGAACAAAAGAAATGGAGTAAAAATCCAAATAATGAAGACAGAGACTGCAGAGGACAATGTTCAAGGGATATCCTTCCAGAGAGCAGAATGAAGACTGAATCAAGAGGTAAGGAATGTTCATAATGCCTGACTAGCAGGATACCAGCATTGGTATGGTCCAGTGACTATTGTGTATCTTCAATTCTTTTCTAAATAGGAATATTTATTGTGGTTATCACGTCCTCTCTCCAGTGTTGTTTATTATGTGAAAGTGGAGGGCAGATAATTGTCTCTCAGTTTGTAGGCCAGTTGCCATAAAGAACCACTTCTACAACACAGCTGGAGATTCTGGAGATCCAGCTGAATGCAGTGACTGGATAGGAGCCTACTTGCATCTATATAATTCTCTGGAAAAAAAAGATAAAAGGCTGAGTCTATGTATGGTATTTATTCTTTCAGTCTGTTATTCAAACAATATTTAATGATCACTTAAAATAAATCAGGAACTGTATTTGGTTTAGGGATATAAAGGCAGGTTTGACTCCTGCATTCATGAAGTTTTCAGTCTGGAGTGGGGAGTATATGCAGCCCATATGCATTTGAGAGAATTTTATGAACAAAGAATAGGGTCAGTAATCTATGCTTGTTAATTAAATAAAGGGATGGTGATAAAGAGTCATGTAGATCATTTTCTTTATTGCTTTCTCTAATCATACCTACTGCCACCACCATACCTTCATTCTCAAAATGGAACATTCCATTATTCCAATTACTCTCATAGAAGGTGTGTATTTATAGCATCACTGTCCGTGAGCAGTATAGAAATGCCTAGTTATGTGGTTTTAATCTTATCTGCTGATCATAAACACATTGATAGTATATTATTTTCCATCAAGAAGACAGCTTTAATGGAGAAAACTATGACAGAGTATCATAATTCTTTGTTGTGTAGAAGAATGTTTTTGTTATGTGTTTTTTTGTTGTTGTTGTTAATCCTCACCTGAGGATATTTTTTCTATTGATTTTTAGAGGGTTGGAGGGAGGGAGGGAGAGGAAGGGAGAAGGAAACATCAATATCAATATGAGAGAGACATATTGATTAGCTGCCTCTGGCACACGCCCCGAATGGGTCCAGGATTGAACCTGCAACCCAGGTACGTGCCCTTGACCAGGAACTGAACCCGGGAGCCTCCAGTGTGCAGAATGATGCTCTAACTATTGACTCATATTGGCCAAGCTATGTGCAGAATAATATTGTAATGAAAGTAATGAGAGGAAAGGGAAGGATGAAGCATTTACCTTAATCAGAAATTCATGTATTCTGGTTTCAGATCCAAAGAAGTACTCAGTGACTTTAGGTAAGACACCTAACTTCCTTTATCCTTCATCTTATCCTACTGTTACAGAGAAGGATGTGGGGGGTAAAAGCAGTTGAATAATATCCATCTATAACGGCAGTGGACATATATTAATGTCAAATAGAGCAGAAGGCGGAAGGATTGAGACTAAGCCATAGTTTTGTCATCTATTTGACATATTGGTTCTACATGCAACCCTTACTTTTCGGGGGCTATAGAATGAAGCCATGAAAAAGATCTTTTAAAATAGTTGTATCTGTATCAAAGCAGCCAAATATAATGCCCTAAAATGTGTTAATTTATATATTCTCTACATAATTTATAATAGGGCATTTCCACTTGCCAGAAAAGTAAACAACACAGAAATGCAGTGATTTCTGGAATTTCACATTATTGTGATCCTGGATTTATACAAATACTTTTCTTTCTATACATTGACATTGATTTTGTTTTGAAAACAAAACAACCTTGGTCCAAATTTTGCAGAACATTTCCATACTCATAAACCCTGAGAAAGAAACTCTGGGAGACCAGTAGAAATGTGATGTTAGAATAGGACTTTCTGTTTTGGAGTGTTAGTCAAGTCCACAGGGATTTCTAATGCACAACTGTGTAATCTATGCCCTTACGTGCTAAGCAGTGTGCAAGAGCACATCTATTGCAGCCTGACTGTGGCTGTGGTTCACTCTGGGACCCAGACTGAGGGAGTGGCAACTCTCTGGAACATTACTTGTTATCATGATGAAGAGAAAGGAAAACATAGTGAACCTCATGCTGGCTGTTATAAATTCTGTTCTGAAATGACACATATCACTTTGGTTTAAGTCCTACACCTGAGGCTAAATTTGAGTTCATCAGGATAGCAATGTATAATCTCCTGCAGAGAGAGGCACCAAATAAAGATAAATACAGTCCACAACAGTATGGGATTGGAATGAAATTTTATTCAAATCCGGGGAAGAATGAACTCAGAGTCGTTTTAAAGGGGCAGTATGGAAAATCATGATTGGTGTCTGCTTATACCTCACATTGACACATGATATTTTCCAAAGATGCTTGCAATGATATCTCTCAACCCACTTGTTCTTCCAGAACCTTACTACTCCCTCTCAATAAATGGAGTCTAGTTCATAATAATCATCATCTTCATCTTTTATCATCAATATTGGTTCATTAATTATGAGAAATATACCATACTAATATAAGATGTTAATAATAAAGAAAGCTGGGTGTGAAATATATGGGAAGTTTCTGTACTATCATTGTAACTTTTCTTTAAATCTAAAAGTCTTCTAAAATAAAGTTTATTTTTAAAAAGTCAAAGTGAACAGAAATAAATACAAATTAAAAAATAGTAGAGTACAAGAAGAAAAAGGGTAATAACTCAAGAAAGGCACTTAGTTTGGGTGCCTATGGTGAGAATCCATAAAATTCTGGATGTGGGATCATAGGTAGGAAGCACTGTCTTATATATTACATGGCCAACAACAAAGAACTTTCAACTTTAAACCTTACCAGGACTAAGAATTAGTGCTCAGGAGGGAATTAGTGCTGGCCATCTGAGTCGCCTTCCAGCATATGAATATGTACCCCAAGTGAAGAAAAGTGGTTAAAAAAATCAGATTACTATTGGCAGAGCATGGATTGTGTTGGTGACTTGCTGCAGAGAACTCTCTTTTTGGATGGGTGGTAGAGAAGACCAAAAGTGAGTGCAGGCAGCTTGTGTTTAGAAGTGTTCTTATGTGCATTTTCATAGTCCTAGGGCTTAAATGAGTGGTGTTTTTGCCACACTTTCCAAACAATATTAAAAAGATGGCATAGTGGAAATTGTTTCTTAAAATGAGAACCATCATTAACCTGATGGATTTGCCTTTTTAAGTTTTGCAACCTTGAATAAAACATTTATCATGATACTCAGTTTTACCACCTGTATAACAAAATATAATATATGCCTTAGCTAAACATCACAGCATTGTACTATTGAAAAAATAAGAAAAGTCCGGCCGGTATAGCTCAGTGGTTGAGCGTTGTCCCATGACCAGGAGGTCACTGGTTTGATTCCTGGTCAGGACATATGCCCAGGTTGTGGGCCCAATCCCCAGTGAGGGGCATGCAGGAGGTGGCCAATTAACGTTCTCTCTTATTGATGTTTCTGTCTCTCTCTCCCTCTCACTTCCTCTCTCTCTAAATCAATAAAGGAAAAACATAAAAAAATTAGAAAATAAATGTGAATGTATTATCAAAACTGCCAAGGGATATAATTATATATCAGCTGAAATCCTTCTAGTCTAGAGAGGGGGTTTATTTAAAGCTGTTCACAGAATTAAAGGATGGGATTGTAAAGAAGGGGACGTGTAAAACAGGTGAGAGTTACTCCGTCTTCCACTCCCACCCAAGTTCTGGTAATGGGGCTTTCCCTTCACATCACTACTACCTTTATTGAATGTCAGTGGCCCTGTCTTTATTTTCAGGGATCTTCACCAAGTTCTCAACCACTGAAAATAGGATTGTCTACACAAGGCAGTCTGAATTGGACTCAGGAAATTCTTAGGCCATCGTTAGGCATTACTTCTTTGGAAAATCCATTGGTGACATGTGGCAGTTACTGAAGTCCCTCACTATGCAACACCCAATAGATTAGTTCACATGACTGCAGCAGAGACGCTGATTCCCAGAAAGACAGTAAATGATCTGCAAATACTCTCATTTACTTGGCACCTATACAGCAATGGCATTGTTGGTGTTTCATAACACCGAATCTGCTCTCCTCCATGTGTTCTTTGCAGATCTACTTTCTCATCTATAGCTTTACAGATCCCTGCCAAGTTTGGCTCCTATCCAACTCTTGAACCCTTTCGCCAAGATAACCTTCACCTCTGTGCTCTGCTTCTTTCAGGGCCTGTACTTTTAACTTGCAAGAGCCGTCTTGTCTCTATAGAAAATATGGCTCATGAGAATAAAAAATTTTGGCTTTCAGTTGCATTTTTTAAAAAATATCATGGGGTTTCAAAGCATAGTTTTAAAGTTAAAAACAAACAAACAACCTAAACAACTTTTCCTTTATGATTTTACAGTGAATTCTTGAGGCAATGAGAATGACAGTGACTACAAAGGTCATGTGTAAGAATGTGCAGAAAAGAAAACCACACACATTTTTTTCAAGCTATTTTCTCTGTATGGGCTAAACAACAAGAGAATTCTCAGACAATCTTCATTGAACTCTCCACATTCTATATGCAGCTAAAGCTTTCATCCATACATCCTTCTGGTATAACCTACACCTAGGACCAGTTACATAACTCATGGGGCCCTGAGCAAAATGAAAATGCAGAGTCCTTTGTTCAAAAATAATTTAATGATCTGTGAGACCAGACCATTAAACCCAGAGCAGGGGCATGCTCATGAAGCCAGCCCTGCACAAACTTCTTAAAAGCAATCAAGCCTGAGTGACACATGGTTTCATTCAGTGGAGCTCCAGGTTTCTATGTCAGAGAGTGCTATATGTTCTAAAAGTCATTCTTCATTATTTCAGAGACACAGGTTACATTTCCCACCCTATCTTGCAATCAGTAATTGCCATGAGAAGGTCCTATGTAAGGCCTCACTCTTAATCTGCCAATCAGCCAAATTCAAAATAACTCAGGAGAGACTTCTATCATTTTAGGGAATAATGGAGCCACAAAATAGAAGAGATCTAGATCCCTGAATCATCACATGGAAGATTGCCTGCCAAATACTACATTGAACTGTCAAAATGAAGGAGAAATAAAATTTTATTATATAAAGCTAGTGAAATTTTGGGGTTATTTATTGTAACATTTGCCATACCTTGACTGTGTATCAGGACTAGCCTTATGTTAAAATAACAAATGACATGAAAATCTCAATATCTCATAACAAAAATTTATTTCTTATTTATGGTATGCCATCCAGAAAACTAATACTCATTATAACAACACAGGGACAAAACTTCACCATGACTTATGCTTCCATGATCATCACAGCAGTGGAAAAGAATCATGATTATAATTGACTTGTAAGGTGTATGTGCATATATGATATATCACTTCTGATTACATTTCAAAGATTGTAAGTCATATGTTCATGTCTATCTTTAAAAAGAGCAAAGAAGTATAATCTCATGTGCCAATAAAGGGAAAATCCAGACATATTTTGTAAATGACAGTAATGAGTACAACATGAATACAGATGTTGGTTTTTGGAAGGAGAGTGCAGCCATAGAGAAACTTCAAATATGTTGTACAGAATAAGTAGTGAGGCAGCAGGCAGAAAAACAAAAACAAACACAAAAAACAGTAGTAGGCTGGTTAGCTGGAGAGCTTTAGTGTGCCTTGCTAAAATATTTAGTAAATCTGTCCCCTTGGAGAAGTAGAAGGTAGACCATGAGACTAGTGAGACTCTAACTCTATGGAAAGTAGGTAGAGGGAGGGTAATGGTGTGAAGTGGCACAATCTTTTTGCAAAAATTAGATTAAGAGTTTTAACTCTGCTATGCAAACCTATTGTTTCAGATAGCCTCAAGAAAGCCATCATTAAGTTGAGAGTTGAAACGAGTACTTGTATGAGGAAGCAAAGAAATAAATCATTCTTGGGGATTATATATAGGAAAGAACTAGAGTGTGAAATTTAGAATATGAAATGAAAAGCAAATATATCAGAAAGCCTACTAAGATTTTAAGGGAATTGTATTGTTAATGAAACCATGTGCCTGGACTTAAAAAAAAAAAAGAATGAGCAATCATCAAACTCCCAGAATTTCCCCAGCAGGAAGCCCAGATAACTTATCCTTTTGGTTTATAGGTTGTACCTTGAGGATCCACAGTTGAGCCTGATGGAAAGGCCTGTGCATCACGTGGAGATGTGATTCACTGACATCACAACCCCATTCCTGACAAGTACACTAGATACATGACAGGAATAACTTTCAATGGTTTCAGTGAATATGTTTTTTAATGGTATACATTTTCAAATTTCATATTTGTTAGCTATCTTGCTTGAAAAATGGGAAGTGCAACTTGGCAACTTGGCTTCTTTTCCTTTAAATTTATCTTGAGCTACTCTGTTGAATAAATTGACGCTGCCAATTTTTTTGATGTTCTATTCTCATAGCAACAGGCTGTGATGTCAGAGGGTCATCACGGAATATATCCAAAAAAGACACTAGGCTGTGAAGCAGAAAGCTCTTATTTAATTGCATGTTATTCAACAATCATGTTATGTAAATAAAAATGGAAATAGAAATAGAAAAAAGACTCAAAGTAACAGTTTATGTGAACATTTTTATTAATAGTTGCCATAGTATAAAAAAAGCTTTCCCTAGCCCTGGCCAGTTTGGCTCAGCGGTTAGAGTGTCGGCCTGCGGTCTGGAGAGACCCAGGTTCGGTTCCCGCTAAGGGCACGTAGTTCGGTTGCAGTTTGTCCCCGGCCCTGGTTGGCCGTGCGGATGGCAGCCACTCGATGTGTCCCTTCACATCGATGTTTCTCACTCTCTCTCCCTTCCCCTCTCTCCCTCCCACTCTATCTGTACAAAAAATGGAAAAATATCCTCGGGTGAGGATAAAATAAATAAATAAATAAAGCTTTCCCTTGAGCACTTTACATCAGTGGTTATGTGTTTTTTAAAAATACTATTGAAAAGCATTCAGTTACAAGTCTGAGAAAGACCATTCCCTGCAAATAAAAGGTAACCTAATCCAGCTGGTGTGGCTCAGTGGATTGAACCTTGTCCCATGGATTGAGAGGTCCCGGGTTGTGGGCTTGATCCCCGGTGCGGGTCCTGCAGGAGGCAGATGATTGATGTTTCTCTCTCACATTGATGTTTCTATCTCTCTCTCCCTTTCTCTCTCTAAAAAAAATCAATAAAAACATTTTTTTAAAAAGGTAAGCTAGATCATGCACATGGTAAAGAAAGCAGTATCAAAACATCTAAAATAATAATCTACATTACTACAGAGTGATAGATTACCAATGAATATGTTTTGAAAAATTTTTATACTAAGAGCCTAGCATACTTCATTACACCGAAAGGCATAATTAAAAGCACTATATCAAAGCAATTATTATCACATAATATGGTATAGGTGCAATAAACTTCATTAAGACTGCATTCTGTAAAGCATCTTTACAAACTCACATGCCTACAGGGTCTGGTAGGTTATGTAAATTAGTGAAATGGCCTGGGTGTGAGACAGTGGGGTGGGTGAGTATGTATCCTCTCTAAGGCAGTCTAGATGGGCTAGGTTAGGCCAGAACAACAAAGAAACCAATAGCTCAGTAGTTGAAGACAAAATTTGTTTACTTGTTCACACTACCTGTAATCAAGGATCAGCTGGGAACTCTGTTCTTTGCTTGTCTTTAGAGAAGCCACCATGTAGAACATTACTGGTTACTATGGCAGAGGAAAAAGAGTGTAGTTTATTTCCCTTAGTCCAAGCAGACTTTTTTTTCTTTATTTGAAAGATATTAGAAGATATGGTAGTCATTACGACTGTTCTCAAATATTCTACAGCTCTCTTTCCTCCAGTGCACAAGGTATTTATCTGCCCACTTGCAGTTATACTGACCATATGACTTGCTTGGGCAATAAAATGTGAATAGAACTGACGTGCAGAAACAAAGAGCTAGTAAGTGCTTTACAACATAGTTCTTTTTCTCTCAATATCAATAAGATATATTGTCAATAAAAAAATTGTAACTATTCAAGAGAACTCCCACATCAGGTAATTTTATAAACTAAATCTCAAGAGAGAGAATCAATTTTACCAAGAAGTAAAAAAAAAAAAATCACAAAATCATACTTAAAAAAAAATTCTCCCAAGACTGGCATTCTCTTTATTTTAAAAGGGAACAGATTTAGAGTAGTGTCTCTGCTATACCTCTCAAAAACTTAGAATCTCTCAAAAACTCAGAAACTGTTGGTACTAGGAACTCTGAAAGTTGGTGTGAGTGAAGCTAAAACAAGGGTGAACAGTTGAAGATGTTTTAAGAAGTGATTCAAACCCCAGATCTCATCTCTCATTCACTTATACTCCAGAAGAATCTAGAGGCTCAGTCATGAGAGACTAAAACAGACAGTTTCTAGACTTAAGGACCCTAGGCACAGCTGAGGACAGGGGTAGCACATAGAAAACAGGGGGTTTGAGTAAACATGCATACAGGACACTGACATGCCTCAGCTTTCCTTTCCCAAGAGGCCAAAACTATGGCAACCAGGCTTCTACCTTCTAGGTAGAAAACTAGAAGAATCTTCTCCTGGGACTCTATCAACTCAAGAATAAAGGTACAAACATTGGGAATCTCCAGTAAAAGCATACAGATCACTCCTATAGTATAACTCATAGCTGACAAATCCCAGCTACTGGCTCTTGGTTTCTTGCTCTTAACTAGTAATTGACAACAAAGTATGTCCAGTAATCATCTAAAGAAACCTCCTAACATAAAATATACAGATGAAAACATACACACCAACAGAAAAGAACCAACTTGGAGGAAAAAAAGAGAAGAAAATATACCAAATTATTGTTATTCTCAGAGAGCTAAAACATTGTAAAATCAAATAAAAAATGAGAGTTATTTTAAAACAATCAGGGAACAAAGAAAAACTATGAAGTCCCCCAAAGAGTAGAGCAAAAAGACAAAGACATGGAAAAAGGAGAATAAATAAGAAGAAAATTAGCTTTGGCCAGTTATGCTCAGTGGTTAGAGCATCATCCTGCAGACCAAAGAGTCACAGGTTCAATTCTGGGCAAGGGCACGTACCTCGGCTGCAATTTTGTCGCTGGCTCTGGTTCGGGTCGTACAGGAGGCAACCAATCGATGTTTCTCTGTTCCTCTCTCTCTCTCTCTCTCTCTCTCTCTCTCTGTCTCTCTCTCTCCCTCTTTCCCTCCCACTCTATCTGAAGATAAATGGAAAAATATCCTCCTGTGCGGGTTAAAAAAAAGAAGAAGAAGAAGAAGAAAATTAGAGGGCCAGTCCAGGATGATCAATATCTGAATAATAGGCATTTGTGAAAGAGAAGATAGTAAAAATTAAAGGAAGGAAAACATCAACAAATTCGAGGCAATTTCCTAGAACTGAAGAATATGAGTTTCCAGATTAAAAGGGGCCACTACCAATAACTCAGCACCATGAAGCAAAAAATACCAAGGCACATCATTGTGAAATTTCAGAACACTGGGGACAAAGAGATCTTACAAGATCATAAACAGAAAACAATAATTCACAACAAAGAATCAGAATTTAAACTTTTCAAAAGCAAGCCTGGAAACTACAAGACAATGAAACAATGTTCACATTATTCTGAAGGCAAATTATTTCCAATTTAAAATTCTATTCCAAGACCAACTATTAAGTATTATTGTAAACACTAGCATAACATTTTCTCTTAGTCTCTTCAACCTGAAACACTCTCACTAAAATATACGCTCCAAGAGGGCAAGTATAACTCTGTTAATTGATGTGTTCTGAACACCTAGAACCATTCTGATAGATAACAGACCCTCAATAACCAATGTATTATTTTCATAAAAATATAAAAGTCGACAGTGGAGCAATAGCACAGAGTATCTATTCGTGTATGAGGATAAAATGCAGGCATTTTCAGGAACATAAGGTCTTACTGAGAGATCTCTTTCTGAAAGCAAAAAGAATATTCTCCAAAAGGGGGAGAAAAGATTAGTCCCTATGTGGACTATGATTTTCCAATTTTATCCTAAGTAGGAAATTCATCCCACTTACCACCTTAATTAGCAAATAAAATCTATCTCTGTTTCTCCCCTTTCACAAACAAAAAAAGTAGCTTTCTCTTAATTCAATCTTATTGAAATTCCAAATAGTATGATTAACTTAATGGAAATTCATCCTGAAACAAACAGAAAACACAGACTACTGCCCAAAGCCTCACATGAATGGAATGCAGCTGGGTATGGTTATGGCCAAGATCCGAATAGCTGATGCTTCTCTCTCTTCACTGTAGCCTAGCTGCAGCTGCCAGACCTGGGAGAAGCTCACTTCTCACAGCACAGAATGTCAGTCAACTTTGAGCCATAACTGACATACAAGATGTGATGGGGATGCCACTAGAAAGGTAGACAGGGGCTGCATCATACCAATTCTGTACTGAAGGCACTGGGGAACCACAGAAATATTTTAAGTACAAAACTGACAAGGATCAGAGTTGCATGTAGAGAGTCATTTTGACAGCAACATGGAAGGTGGTTTAGAAAGGGACAAAACTGGAGGCAAAGAGACCTTAGTCTGCTTGCTCAAGTAATTCAAGTGAGAAATGATGAAGGTCCAAACTAAAGGAATGACAGAACAAATTGGAGAAATGAGTACAGATTTCAGCAATAATGCAAATGAGACCCTGGTTACTAATTAAAGTACCCAAAGAACTGAGATGTAAATTAGAATCATATAGGTATTATAAAGTGAGTAAAACCTTCAGAGTTTATTTAAACTCATAATAAAAGGCAAATAACATTACTTTTCTAACATTACCCTCATGCTGTTAAGATAATAACCAAAGGCCACAAAAATTGTCCTTTAGATTCTCTGAGTAACCAAGTATCTAAAGGTATTTTGGCTAAAACAAAGTCCCCTTTTAATTATCACTGAACGGGAAAGACAGGAAATGAATCAATAAACCTCAGGCACATGCTTGGCCTGGAAAGACACAGCATGTCCAGGAGCAGAAATCTGACAACAAAGGCCGGGGTAATATAATTACCAGGCTGAAAACTACTGACTGATGGTTTAATTGTTTGAATAATGTCCAAATGGTCTGATGAGGCAACCACCCCAAGATTTTTGCACCATTACCTATTACCACATGGACATATATGAGAAATAGTTTTAAAGAATGCAGGAATCTTAAATAACTTTTATTAATCACTTCTATGATTCCCCCCAAATTTTTAAAAATTAAAACCTTGTACAGGGTGGGTCAAAGTAGGTTCACAGTTGTTTGTATAATTAAAAATAATACAAAAATAAACTGTGTTTTGCTTACACTATAAACATACTTTTCCCCACCAGTGTATTTATAAATAACCTCAGGCTCTTTTTTTTTGCAAATTCATTTGCCATTACATGCTACCAGATCAGGAAAATAATATCCTTCAGAGATGAGCACCAACTGCTATATAAGAATTGGAAAACAATAATTACTCAGATTAAATGTATATGCCCTTATTTACCATTATACTAGGGAGGTGTGGAGTTGGTGGAATGTAAGTGCAGGTGGTAACTACCTGTAAATACTCAAAAACTGCTCAGTATTCTAGAGTAAGCCAGTTTTCTCCCTTGATTCAGTTAGTATTTCCTCATTCATGTTTATCTTCGGAAGTGTAAACCAACAGAAAAGTCCTTTCAAAAACTGAACCAAGAAATACCTCAGACTACTTAACCTGGCAGTGTTCTCCTATTGGCTTCACTAAGTACATGAGTATAAGGCCAAAGTAGACTATTATGTTATTCATTCCACAGGTGTTTATAAAATGCTGTGTATTATGCTAAGTCCTCAGCAGAAGCTTATACTCTAGTAGAGATAAAAAGATATATACAATGACTTTAAATGGCAATGGAAGGCAGTATGTAGATAAATTTTTAAATAGTTGTGTAGGAAAGAGAACTATAATGCTTTCATAAGTGGAAATCAATGTGGAGAGAATTAGAAAGACTTTATTGGCTAGAACTTCAGGTGGGCCTCTAAAAAGGGGAAGATTTGAATATGCAGAAAGTAAAAGGCTTTCTAGGTCTCCAGACCAACATGAGCACAGATCTGGAATCAGATACTTACAGGTTCTATTTTGAAAACCAATATGGAGATCAGCCTAGTTATGGGTTTTGTGGTCATTAGATTAGATTTGGTCATTAGATTTGGTAAGAAGTCCACTCACCAGTTTCCAAAGTACTGAAGATGGGGGCTCAAGTGCTTCCCGTGTCCATTACCTACCATAGTGGATAAAACTATTACATGCTTTGACTATTTCTAGTTTTAATGATAAATAAATTAATGATATCTATCAAGATTCAAGTTTAGGAGATTGTAGAAAGGGCAGAGAATCCTTCAGGCAGAAGAAACAGTAATGTGCAGAGTCACTAAGACAGAAGAAAATGCTAAATTCAAAGAACTTTAAGGAGACATATAACCAGTTAGTATGTGAAGTTGTTAAAAACTCAGCCTTTGACGTCAGACTAGGGCTTAAACTTTGCTTATGCCACTTACTGGCTTACTTGCTCTGTGACTTGGGCAAACTGTTCAACCTCTCTGTGCCTCAGTTTCCTCTACTGTAAAATAGAGATATTAATGGTCCCTATTTTATAAAGGGTTTTGATAGGACAAAATAACACAGTATATATACAGGAATTAGCATAATACTTAGTAT